TATCTCATTTGTCCATCCCACAGATATTTAATTTACACCTATTATGAATCAGTGATTCTGAGGGTTGTAGGAATGAGGAAACCAAAGCATAGAGCAGCTAAGGCACTTGCTCACAGTGGTGCCCATGGAGCTGGCATCGTCTGATTCTAAGATCAGGGCTCTCACCTGCCACCTTGGCTGCCTATTTGCTAAGTTTCCTTAAAGGTAAAAATGGGATCTAGGTTGGGAGGGCTGTTGGAATAGGGGTCCGGGAGCCCCTTTTGCCAAGGGGACCACGTGGCTTGGGGGAGAGACAAACCCTTCAGAAGCCTCTGTGAGCAGGGTCCCCGATGGCCGTCATGAAAGGGTTATCCCCACACATTTGATATTTGCAAAAATGTGGGTTCTTTCAGATTCCAAAACTCATTTCCATGACAAAACTCTTGGGAAGAGAAGATGAAGGTCTGGCTTTTGCAGAACAATCTTCCAGCTGTAATGAGGACTGAAGATGACGATGGGAAAAGGAATTATAATTAGAATATGAAATGGGGAAAATTAATCTATTCCAGTCAGTGGTAAGAGGATGTTCTCCTGGCATTTCACAGAAATTCTTAGGCCCTTGTTTCCCCTGCATTTTACGCCCCCCCACCCCCGATTTTAAAGCATACGGAAGGTTGTGTGGTGTGAAAAAATATTTTTGGCCGAGGGACTGATAAATTGTGAGATATGCATGGAATTTAAGCTCTTGTGTAGGTCTGGATGTGCTCCTGCCATACATGTTTGTGGGCTCATTTAGGTGAGTTCTGTTTATATAGCTGCAGAGGAGTGGTCATCCCTTCCTTTCCCTGTGCGTATGCTGTGGGCATTGTGTACCAGTCCCATAAAGGGTCTGTGACATGTGCACACTCAGGCTTGTGCTGTGGGCGCCTTTGTGTTGGCTTGGGTTACCCATGGGTGTGGTGTGTGTGCGACTAAGTGCTGTCATAGTCTGCCACTGGTTTGTGGTGTGTATGTAGTCAGCGTGCTTGGGCACACTGCATTTGTCATATACATTTGTGTCCACATACACACTCAGCATTCGCTGTGTGGTGGGTACAGATGTGGGCATTTGTGATCTTGGTTGTGCACATGGAGGAGGAGGGGGCCCTGCTTTGATTTGTGACTTCTCACCTTGGCTTACAAGTTCTTTCCCCCAGAAAGCAACCTCCCCAAAAGGGCTAAGGAAGTAAGCTCCAGGCCTTAGGACCCTGGGGGCCAAGCCAGGGGAAGCCTGGGACCCTTAGGGTCACCCTCTCTCCCTCCTTCCCCCTGCAAGGGCTCTGATATGGTGGAACAGAGAACAGACCCCCCCCCCCCCCCCCCCCCACCACCTTGGGTTCATGGCTGCTCAGTAGCCAGGTCCCAAACCCAGTGTGCTCTCAGGACACCGTGCAAGACACCTGGGAGTAACCAATCAGAGGCTGACTCAGGCCTGGCCTTGGGAACCTCTGCCAACTTCTCAGGTCCTCCTCGAAAGCAAGAAGCAAGCTTTACTCCATTACGTGGCAGCTTTTCTTGGTTGAATAAATGAATGAATGAATGAGCCCACTAGAGGCAGGCTCTGGTGACCTCATGTGGTCCCACTGGCAGACCCCCTTGTGTCCTCCAGCATACACACATCAAAATCCAGGGTTTTCTTTTCTCATATCCCCAGAGCCATCCCCCCACTGCCCACCACAGATAATGCCTCCCTCCCTGAACGGCTAACACATATTTACCAAACACCTGTTATGTGCCAGCCCCAGGCTAATGGTTGGTTCTAGAGTGGGGTGCACCAAAGCCTTGATCCCCACTCTTAAGGGGCTTCTGGCCTAGTGGGAGAGACCAAACCAAAGAAGCAGGCAGCCCACTCTGAAGCCCAGCCTGCCTCTAGGTGTGCAATTTTGGGCAGCTGCTAATCCTTTCCATCTGTTTCCTTGGCTTTAAACAGGGAAAATAATACCTGCTTTGCTGGGTTGCTTTGAGGCTGAAATGAGATCTTTTATGGCAAGCATTTTGCTCAGTGCCAGGTATATTCATTCATTCCCCAGAATTTGTTGAGTGCCTGCTGTGTGCATCGGAGAGAGCAGACAGGTGTCCTTGCTTCTGCGGTGGTTCTGTTCTACTCAGCAGTTGATCAACGGGCTGTAACAAGGGGCTTGGGGGACATCTTTCCATCTGCTTCTTTGATACATGTTCCTATATTTTTAACCTATACCATACTGTTTGATTACTATTGCCTTATAAAATGTTTCAGAGACCTGGCTAAACTAAGTCCCCCTCCATTCCTAGTCATTCTTTCTTATAAAACATATAAATTATGTGTGGCTTTTAAAAAGGTTTTACTTTTATCTAAGTAATAAATGGCCACGGTGACACATCAAATGATACCCAGGAGTTTTTGTTGAAAGCTCCCCACCCTGTCCCATTCCCAGTCTCATTTCTGAGGCCAGACTGTTCCAGGTGCTGTGGGGTTTGGAAATGACCAGGACACAGTTCTAGCCTCCATGTTGCTCCCACTCTGGGGCAGAAGACAGATGTGAAGACAATCTGTGTTGTAAGAGGGGCAGCCAGAGAAGGTGAGAGCATGGCAGCCTCTTGGAGGAGGTGGTTTCTGAGCAGGGCCTTGAAGCATGATGAGCTCCAGGCACAGTGTGGTGGATGGACCCCTGCATTGGGGGCCAGTGCCCAGACTCTAGGCATGGTGCCACCTTTTCTTTTGTTAATATAGCAGTCACTGAAGGCCTCTGCCCATCCCTGTGCTGGCAAGGTATTTGGGTATAGCCATCAATCCTACTGCCTTGATGGGAAGACTGGCCTAGTAAAAGACAATGTGAATGGTGTCATGCTTGCTTCATTCATTCACTCATTCATTCAGCCAACAAGCAGTTATTGATTATCTGCTTTCTACCAGGCACTATTCTAGGTGTTTGGGAGGCAGAGAGACTGAGATCCCTGACCTCCAGGAGCCTCCATTTTGACAGGGGAAATCCACTCTAAGCAGTGAACGTGGTAAAATAAGCAAATGATTTAGAATGCTAGGAGGTAAAAGGGCCTATAGAACAAAGAACAAGGCAGAGCAAGGCAAGGGAATCGGGAAGGGTGGTGGGGGTGGACCCGCAGAGGGAGCAGGCTGGCATCTGAGCCTCTCTGCGTGAAGAGGTTCTGCATGAACAGACAGGCATGATCATGGGAGAGTGGATTTTTACAACCTCCACGAGGGTGTTTGGTGATGCCTATCAAAATTACAAATGCACGCATGTCTGGACCCAGCGATTATACAAACTAATCCTACAGATAAACTCACACCCAGGCGGAATGATGGATGTACAAAAATATTCATGAGAGCAGTGCTGGAATAGGGAAAGACTAGAAACAACTCAATTGCCCATGAGCTCAACTAGTTAAATATATCTGTTACATCCACACCATGGAATACCAGGTACCGGAAGACAGAATTATGTTCTGATATAAAATACTTCCCGAGATGTGTTGCTAGGAGAAAAATGAGGTGCAAAACAGGGTGTATAGTATGTTGTCATTTATGTGAAAGAGACGACTATAAAATGTATATATGTGGACCATCTCTGAAAGGATATAAAGGAAGCCCGTAGACTCAGTGGCTGCCTCTTGGAGAGAAGCAATGGATGGCGGGGAGGTGGGGTGGGAAGGAGAATTTTCACTCTGTTGCTTTTTGTGCTTTGGAAATTTTGAATCATGTGAAGATAACCCAATAAAAAAATTAAATTTTCAATTAAAATGAAATGGCCGGCTGCCATTGGGGCCCCACCCAGATCCCTTTACTAGCCTCTACAGCCAGCTCCTGACCACTGGCTGCAGATGGCTCACAGTTGGCACAATTCTCTGGGGAACTGTCCCTGGCCAGATGGGGGCCACCCTGCTCAGAAGGTTATGCCTCCCCTTGTCCCCTAAGGGCAGCCCGCAGCCAGTGACTGACTGAACTCCATGGGGCAATTCATGCCGCATGGCTCCCCATGGGACCAGGCTGCAGCGGGTCTCCAGCTGAGATCACATCTTTGCTTAGCTACTTCCACTGCCCTGTCCTGCTTCCCTTCCTCCCTTACAGATTTTCCTAAAGAGCACTGTTCAAAAATCACATGCATTTGAAAATCCTGGTCTCACGCTCTGCATTTAGGGAACCTGATCCAAAACACCTGTCTCAAGGGAAGAGAACTTACTGGAAATGAGCTGAGTGCTCTATGTGTTTTGGTACAATACCCCATGGAGATGGGACCACTGTCATTATCCTCATTCAACTGATGAGGAACCTCAGAAATTCAGACACCAGCTCAAGAATACACATCATGGAAAAAAGCCAGTGACCCCAAAGTCCACACTTCTCCCATAACACCTGCTTCCTACTGCAGGGAGATCTTCCTGCGTCCAGACATGGCAGCTTATCAGAACACAGGATTGTAGTGTCTGTGCATGGTTTCTACCACAGCCCTCCCTGCCTGTGGCCAGAGGTGGCCCAAGGGGCAAATGTGAGGGGGCCAAGCTTCTTAGGATGGTAAGACCTGGAGGGCATGTCTGGGGCAGGTGTCCTGATCCCAGGGCTCTGAAGATCTCAGCCTCCCTCCATCATGTGGAATTCTAGCTCTTGCTGATAGTCTGATGGCCTTTTGGCCAAGAGAGATCTTTGCATACTTCCAGGGTTGGGGAGCCCAGTATCTGACAAGGACCATCTGCCACATCTATGGACAAGGCATAAAGGGCAGGAAGGTTTTCCTCTCTTTGCCCTGTGATTGAGGTGCTAATCCAAGCCCGCGGGGGCCACAGGACAGGGGTTGCTCTTTTCACCCTAGAGGGAATCCTGCTGAAATGAGATTTGGGCATCTTGGGCTCGAGCTTTGCTTCTCCGGGCCCCACAGACCTTTCCCCTCAGTGCGTTCAGTCTCCTGACCTTCTCGGGCATCTCCTGGGGCCTTCTTGAAAACACCTTACTCAGACCCGCTTCTCTCTCTTTCTCTGTTCTAGTTTGATGGTGACAGTGCCTACGTGGGGATGAGTGACGGGAACCCAGAGCTGCTATCGACCAGCCAGGTGGGTGCTCCATCCTGCCTGTGGGGGTTCAGCCTGGAGCTGGCTGGAGCTGAGCTGCTTCAAGGTGGGGCTGGGATGGGGCAGAGCAGTGGGGCAGGGCCCACTACTATCCTCTCTCACAAGGATCAAGAATATCAAATATTCCCTTGAAAGTGACAGTCCAACTGGGACCACAGTGTTTTCTGTAAAGCACCTACCTGGCTACAGTTGGCTGAAAATGGGCACCATTGAAAACTTGGTAAAACTGCAAATGTGTTGCCCACATTTCCCATGCACAGAGGAGAACTCTTCAGCAGCAGTGAGTAAAGATGTCACAAGCTCCCTGGTACTCTCTGCCTCTTGCCACCACATAGCACCCATGGGATCTACACTGGCACAGAGACACATATGCCCATGCAAAGGTGTGCAGAGTTCTCCTGCCCACCTAGACTTGTCTAGTACCCCTGCGGAGGATTGTGGATGTGGCATACAGGGAGGAGAGCAGAGGCTTCCTGTGCGGTCCTCCCTGGGAAGGAGACTGGATCATCCCTGGGCAAGGCTATCCCGGTCCCTAGCCCTCTGGGAGTCCCAGATGCCAGCTAGAATCTGAATTTCCACTGAGAGCCTGGTCTCCAAAAGTTAAGTTTTCTTTCAGCCGGGAGCATCCTCACTGCAGATTGGAATGCTGGGGAGGGTCCTCACTGCAGGCTGGGACGCTGGGGAGGGTCCTCACTGCAGGTTGGGACGCTGGGGAGGGTCCTCACTGCAGACTGTGGTAACCTGGAGGACGGTTCCTTTTTTTTTTTTTTTAAAGATTTTTTTTTATTTATTTATTTGAGAGAGAGAGAATGAGAGACAGAGAGCATGAGAGGGAGGAGGGTCAGAGGGAGAAGCA